ACACACACACACACACACAGTGACACACACACACACAGTGACACACACACACACACACCATGTGACACACACACACACACAGTGACACACACACACACAGTGACACACACACACAGTGACACACACACACACAGTGACACCGACACACACACAGTGACACACACACACACAGTGACACACACACACACAGTGACACCGACACACACACAGTGACACAGTGACTCACACTCACTCAGCTGTGAGTGGTTCTCTGTCAGACTGTCAGCTCTTCAGCAGCGAAGGTAAGAAAATAAAAACATTTGATTTCACATCAATGAGTTTAAATCTGATCAATAATCAGTCATTGATCAGATTCATGATTGAAAGAAACAAATTATTTCAGAAAGCCTCGGTCGTTTCTGGTTCGGCTCCAGATGAAAGACGAAGACGTTCCTCTGCAGCTGCGTTTGTTTACATATTTAAGTTTATTATTTAATTTATTTTTTATGCTTCTGCACTAAAAACTTCTACCAAAGTTACTTAAAGACAACAGCTGTCAAAGAAATGAAATTTAATCTGTTTATTTGTATTAAATCTGACATTTACAGCATCTTATGAGCGTTTAGATCGTTTGTATCAGTTTGACTTGGTTCATAAATTCATAAAAAGATTAATAAATAAACATAAATGTTTTCTCTCTGATAAAATGATGTATCTATAGCCTGTGCTGCAGTTTATGGTTGTTTCATTAAACTTTATAATATTCAGGGCTGAAATCTACAGTTTGTTGAAGTTTCTTCTTCTTACATGTAAAAGTATAAAAAGTAATTTTATTGACAGAAATGTCATTTTTCTGTTATAAAGGTTCAGAGTTTTCTTCAGGTTTGATGAACCAGTTTCCAACAGAAGCTCTGCTGATCTTTTAGTTTTATTCTTCGTATTTTATGATTTATAGATTCATACATGTTGTCAGGTTTGGTTTTAGTTTTCTGGTCTGGTTCTGTTTCTGGTACTGGTCCTCACTGACCCTCCGTCTGCCGCCTCACCTGTCCCTGATCTGTAATCGGCCAGGTGTGTCTTCACACGCTCGCTCCTTGCTTCAGCGCTGGTCTTCCCACATCGTCACTTGTTGTCCTCCTCTCTGATTCCTGTTTTCTTGGTTTTAGTTAAAAGAGTTTTTGCTGCCTCGTCAGAACTTCTTCTTTACTTTGATCAAATAATATCTTGTTTAGTTTTACCTTCAAGCTCCTTGTTTCCAGTCTGCATGTGGCTCCACTTCTTCATGTCCACCGACCTACAGAAAACCTACACTTTTCATGGAGATTTATCCTGAAAAAACATGAAACTTTATGAAGGTTAATGAAAGTGACACAATGACAGGTAATTGACTGTTAAACTTTTTATGAACAAAAGAAACAAAGTTTAAAAAGGATCAGACGAAAACAATGAAAACAAACGTTAAAACAAGAAAACTAACAAAGTGAAGTCAGGTCAACTGGACGTATTGAAAAAATTAAACAAGTTTTAAATATTTTTTATTCTATTTGGAGGACCTGAGTTAAACTTGTTATAATTTTCTACCTGGATTATTGAGCATGCATCAGGATAAAGTCTGAAACATAAAAATCTGAAACATTAAAGTCTGAAACATTAAAATCTGAAACATTAAAAATCTGAAACATTAAAGTCTGAAACATTAAAGTCTGAAATATTAAAGTCTGAAACATAAAAGTCTGAAATATTAAAGTTTGAAACATTAAAGTCTGAAACATTAAAGTCTGAAACATTAAAGTCTGAAACATTAAAGTTTGAAACATTAAAGTCTGAAACATTAAAGTTTGAAACATTAAAGTTTGAAACATTAAAGTCTGAAACATAAAAATCTGAAACACAAAAGTCTGAAACATAAAAATCTGAAACATTAAAGTCTGAAACATAAAAGTCTGAAACATTAAAG